AGGGGGTGTTGATAGACGTCAACAACATTGTAAGTTTCACTATCTGAGCTAAGGGAAATGCATACATGGGGGTTCATTTTTCTTGATACTTTCTTGTATATCTTAAATATAGCATAACATTTAAAAAAATTGTAGGAATATTAGAGACCAAGTTATCATTATCTAGAATAATTAGGAATTAAATAAAATTCACAGCCATTTTTTAATAATAAATAAATGATATATGTATATTTACATAACACTGTTTTAAACACTTTATAAACATTAATTCATTTAACCCTCACAGCAATCCTATGAGGTAGGTAATATTATTCCCATTTTGTAGATTAGAAGACAGGCACAGAGACGTCTAATAGCTTGCCTGGCATCACTCGGCTACTAAGTGGTATATTTTGAATTCAATTTATGTTTTTCAAAGATTTAGTAAATGTCAAGACTCATTAGAGGTTAAAGCAGTTTCAACTAGTTTTATAGAGGACTCAGAATTCTGAAGCAAGCAAGAAGAAAGGTTTCTTTTTATGGGAACATGGACAATTGGAGGTTGTGCTGTGCTCAAAGCCATATGACCTTGTAAGTGATTGCAGATTATGAAATTGTGTGGTTTAATAAGAATTCCTCTTCAATACCTTTTGTTATCAGGACATCTGGAAGTCTCTTAAATTGTGTACTATGAACACCATTGCTTTTCATGGTTGTAGGTTGTAATATAATAATAACACCATTGCTATTGTGATTATTATTGTTATTACTGTTCTTTTGGTGTTGGATGTGTGTTGGCATGGGCCTTTGGGGGATGGGAATGTGGTAATCATATGTAATTTTTCCAAGCTTTCTTTGCGGGTGGCCCATAAAAAGCAATGACTAATTCTAAAAGGGTGAGGTAGCATGGAAAGAGAAGAAAGTTAGGAAAGGTTATTTTTGTAGCTTTTGGGAATTGTTCACATTTCGCTCTAGGTTTGATGTGCTCTTTGTTGTAGCTAAAGTCCCCAGCTTTGGCTATGTTTTTCCTAATTTTGGGAGGCCGGAAATCATTCTTCCTCATAGTCTTTGTAGTGCGTACTAATCCTATCTTAGTGTAAGAACTGGGTGAGCAAGCGTTAGTGATGGTTTTTTTAGATTTCATTTCTCTGATTGCATCAACAATGACGTAAATGGTTCCGTATTTCTGGCCACTTGTCATTAACCAAATGGGTTTGGGTACCTGATTTCTTCCTTTTCTAGGAGGCGGCGGTAAGTTGCTATTTCTTGTTCTAGCCTCATCTTCGTGTTGAGAAGTAGCTCATGCTCTTGAAGCTGCTTTTCAATGCCGCGCCTTACTTCTTGGAGCTCCTTTTCTAGTCCTTCAATCACGGCCTCCAGGCCTTGGAGCTGCATCTGGTAATGCTGCTCACTGGCGTGCAGCGAGTTTTCAAGGCCCCTTTCCTGTGTCACACAGACCTTCATCAGTGAATCAGTGAAACAAAATGTGTTTCGGAAATCTGATTTGTAATGTCTTCATTCAATTGTGTTCTTTCTTAGAAAGGTTGCAATAATTGTTTATCACTTATGCAAGAGGTGTTTCCTTACAGCTTTTTGTATGACCCAATTTTTAAAAAATTTATATTTTCCACATATAGCTAGAGAGGTTAGTATTTCAAAGGAATCCTATGATCATTGTTACAGGAAAAAAAGTCTGCAGTGTGATTAACTTATCACTGGTGCATTTGATTTTTTAAATATTGAAAATATGTAATATTGAATAACAAAGCGAGAGCAGACCATTTATAGAAAGTCATTTTAGGACAATGTTTAAATATTTTCCTATTAGATGTCTCAGTGGTATGGACAAGAGACTTCCCATGTTAGGACTGAATAATGACAAAGGCTCTAGTTCCCCACTCCAACAATTAGAGAACCCCAGGGTCATAAGCAAGGGTCACTTCATTTTTATAGGTGGGAACTAAACGTTGAGTGAATTTATAACAGCCATTGCCATGAAGGAAGAAGGCGGGTAGTTGAACTAGGACCAAGGATAGAATTCAGTGGCCGTGACTTTTCCCTTACAGGGAGTTTCTCACTGTAAGGTAATGGGATTATTCCTCTCCCTCTCTTAATCAGGTGACATCTGGGGACTCAATGGACCAGCAGCTTTGGAGATGGTTCTCACCACAGCATGGAGAGATTCAATTTCCACTTGCAGGTGGTGCCACTGGCGTCGGGCTTCCTTGAGTTCTGCTTGAGCTGCCTTTAAAGCCTCTTCATCTTTGTCCATTTTTTTGCTTATATCTTCTTCTAGCTAGAAGAAAGCCAATAATAACGGTAACAGAAAAAAGACAGAGCACTCTTGAAAAGGAGACATTTAAAGGCAATTATAGAAAAATAGCATAAGAATTGAATCATTTTTTTAAAGTTGTTAGATTACAAACCTATATTCTAGTGCTTAGTGACTAATTAATTATTGGGTTGTCGGAAAAGTCATGACGCATTTTTGCAACGAAAAACAGAAAAAATACATTATGACTTTTCCAACAACCCTATATGTGAGGAAGTCCACTGCACTCTCAGCCTCAGTTTTCTCAGATGTACAATGAACCTTAAAAGTTCCTTCCTACTGTGACAGCCTATGAAATGCAAAAAATACACCTATTTTAATGAAAAGTAACAGTTTGCAAGACCTAAGTTTAAGACCTCTGATTCTTAATTTTCCATTATTTATGGCATTAATAAAGAAGATTGACAATTAGCTATTATTTCCCCTCATATTTTCTTTTTCTTTTTTTTGTGTTTATTCCCCCCCTGTATTTTCTTGTAGGCTGCTTTGTAAAAGCAGAAAAACAGCTATGTATCCTAAACCAATCAATTATTGGACTGGGTACATATACAGTGAGAAAATACTGTTGGAAAGTATGTTATGAATAATTTAGAGAATTAAGTTATCATAGGCATTAGAGATTCTAAAATAGACTTCTGTATCAAGAGAACCCCTGTTGATTTATCTTTTTCAATATGAATTTTTTAGAAGGCATGTTAATTTTGGGTATATCAGGTAATAGCAAAAATGACTTCTGTAAAGATTGTTTTCTAAATGTCCTCATATTAAATACATGGATTATTTTATAGTCAGCTTTAAATGTTCTTATGCTGATATTGAAATTTAATAAAAGTATCCTTTGACAGAATTCTTAACATCTAGATCCAAGAGCAGTAGGAGCAATGTATGGAATTGTAACATTTTGAAGCAAAAATCACTTTTTATGTTCTTATAAAAATGCTTTTTAAAATTTTAAAAATTTAATATGATGGTACAACAGATTTTTTTTAAAGGAAACATTGGAGTAAATGAAGTCTATGAATAAAGTTTAGAGCAAAGTATTAGAGAACAAAATTCGTATATTTCTTTTGGTTTGTTGTATCACTTGTTCTTAGTGTTAAGTTGACAAAAGCAAGCAGCAACACATATCAGAGGAACTACAAAAGAGAATGTTGAGAATTTAGGAAATAGGAGGACATAAAAATGCTGGCATTTACTGGTGTTTTGGATTTTGAGCATGGAACTCGCAGCTAGGCTTGCGTGGTAGCTAGATTTTGAAAATGGCTTCCAATGAGCCACACTTCCCAAAATTCATATCCTTGTGTGGTGGCTTTCCACACTGAATCTGGGCTGATCTCTGTCTTGCTTTATCCAGTAGAATGTGGCAGAAGTGTCAATTCTAGGCCTAAGCCATAAGAAGTCCTGACAACTTCTACTTCTGTGCTTTTGAGAGCCCTGGCCCAACATGTAAGAAGTCTGGATGCTCTGTTGGAGAAATTGTGTATGGAAGCCAGAAGGAGGGAGACCATGGGGCTGCATGGAGAGAGACACACAGGTCCAGTGTCTCTGCTGAGCTAGCCTTCCAAAAATCCCGTCAAGGTGCCAGACACATGAATGAGCCACCTTGGATGTCCCAGCCCAGTTGTGCCCCAAGATGACTGCAGTCCCAGCCAATGTCATGTGCAGCAAAGGACTCACCCCCATGAAACCCAGTCAACCCAGAGAGTCATGACAGAGAATACAGTGGCCGTTTTCATCCACAAAGTTTTGGGGTGGTTTGTCATACAGCAGTAGGTAACTAAAATAGCTTATGTTGCCTTATTTTGCAATACTTGATCAGGCTTTCTTGAATTTATTCCAGATGACTTTCTGAATTCTTTGAAAATAATCTTCTAACGTATATTTATGTTAAAAAGACTCAAAACAAAATTTGCTTTAGGGTAGTTTTGCTTTTTCACATTATGCATTTCAGCATTGTGACTTGTAAACTAAATAACTTGTATTTTTGCTATTGCAAAAATAAAATGTTCATTTGGCTTATAATTTTCAGAACTTGTCATCTATTAATATTCCTCCTTCTCTTTGGAAAAGGTGAATGAACTATTCCAACAATTAAATCAAGTATCCCAGTGACTTTGCTCAATCTAGGATACTCATCATTCTTTATGAAGACTGAAAATGTTACCCAGAGGTGAAATTTATAATGTTACTAAAAATGAATTGGAATTATTCATGAAATAAAATCCTATGATTTTTCCCTTTGGTGATGTTCTTAGGTAAACTCTTTGCTGTATTTGAGTGCTTGGAATAGAACTTGAACTCAGACATGGTAGGTGAACTAACTAATGAATTAACTAACTAAATCCCTGAATTCTGAATCTTTGTTTCTAAAATATTTGTTTGTACATTTGTTTAAATATTTTATACCATAATTAATTGCTAAAGATAATTGTCAAAGTGCATCTATGAAATTAAGATTTAGCCCTTATTTAACTTGGCTCTCTCTTTTTCTTTAATACTTAAATATTGCATGCCTAGTATTGGAAATAAACATTTCTCCTTATACCACAAAAGCAAAAATCTATAATGTATGTGGAGAGTCAATTTGGGAAATTCTGACTGCCCCAATTTATATCTGATTTGTTCTGAATGCCATGTTCACATACTCGGATGATTTCTATTTATAACAATCTGGTATAAAACTGAACTCATTAAAAAGGTTTAGAAATATTTTACTTAGTTCTTCTCCACAAAGTGTGCAAGCTAATACATCTTACTATAAAGCTTGTCATTTAAAAGATGTTATTGAAATCATCTCTATAAATAATCCTTAATATCTTTGAAGGGTATTTGAAATGCTTCCTCCTTTGGAGAATGTCTAAAGGAAGTTAGAGTGCACCATTTTATTGTATGTTGACCCCATGTTTTAATGATAGTAACCTCATAATTTATATAAAAATCAAATGCATTAATCAACATTTATTTAATGGTCATTTAACAGTATAATCACAGCATTTGCCCCTGTAGTCCCCGTCACAGTGCAGTAAAACCTAAATTCCTTCCCCAGTATATGCTGCATTGAAAAGGAAATACTGTACCTCAGAGAGGCCGGGAGAGGAATTGGATAGACATGGATTGCCTCCTTCTCCTGGAAGGTGCCTGTCTGTATGAAATCATTACCTGGATCCTTGTTGAGAGCACGGTCTCTATCTGATTTCTGGTGAGGAGCTTTTCATAGTTTGCCCTGATCTCATTGAGTAGCTGGGACAGCTCCATTCTTTTCCCATCCTCCACCTTGGCTAACTGGACCTTATCGATAGGATGAGTCGCTGCTGCAGAGCCGCTCTGTCTGCTTCTGAGCGGAGAGCCCCTGTGTAGTCTTAAAGACGCAGAGCTCCCTTTTCAGAAGCCACGCCGTTTCTAATCAATTACGCAAATACTTGGTAAACGCTCTTCTCCTGTTGTTGTTCGTTTAGTAGAAGTGTCAGGCTCTCCATAAAGGAACAGAAAAATGAAAACATCCTCCGTATTCCTGAATTGGTTCTCCGTAAAAATGAACGCTTGGGGGTGGGGTGGGGGAGGGGCGGCCGGGAAGGTAATTTGTCTTGTGGGAAGGAAATGGGGCATACATCAAGACAGTTATATTTTGTTTTCCCAAGATATTTCATGGAAATAAATTAAATCTGAGCCCAAAACATGATAGCTGAACTTTTCTTTGACAGTCCCCGCCTGCCCCCCACCCCAATGTGGATTATTGAAACAGAAATGCTATGTGGTAGGGCATTAGGATATGTTGTAAATCTTGGATATTCTGACAGTTATTGGAAAAAGCTGCCATCAGATTAAGTTGACAATTGTCATTAGCCACAGGACTGATGGATTATATTTCTCTCAAATGCATACTGTGTGGCTCACGGCAGGCTGCATGCCTCACAGCAGGCAGGGTTTGATGTATTGAGGTGAATTCCTGAGGGCATATTACAGATGAAGCTATAGCTAGAGATAAATGCTAACTGAGTATGAGAGCTGAGAGTTAACATTTCCAACATTTTAACAAGATTGAGAAAAAAACAAAACCAGATGGTTTTGTGCAGGGTGTATTCACTGAGGTAAGATTTATGGTGGGGTCGCTTCTTCATTAGTCAACATACAGTTAATGACAACACATACTTGTAAATATATAACGTGTGCAGTGCTTCTGACTTTAAAAAGCACCTTTACATCTATCATTCCATCCAATCTTCACATCCCTATCATTGTGTAACCGGTAAAGATGACAAGCCTGAGACAGGAGGGGTTCAGGTGCGTAGGCCAAGGTCATATGGTGATGTAATGCCATCATTGAGACTGGAACTTTGCTCAGTTGTGTTTCATATATTGCTTCTTCTGTCTCTGCATTCTCCCTCTCCCCACCTAAATTCCTTGTTTAATCTGGCCAGCTAGTTGCTAGATGTGACCGAAATATTTTTGAGAAAAGATCTGTCATTACTGTTATTTGTAGAGTGGCTTGGTTGAAATAGTATCTAGAGCATAGTTCAGGAAATAATTAGTCGCTGGCTCCAGCGCTCGTAGGACCTTTGAATGTGCATCACGCTTTCTTAATTTCTGAATGAACGTACTGCTGGCCCACCCAGTCTGTGCTGGGTGTTCCCACAGTGTCCTCCAAACAAAGCCCCTGCAGACAGAGGTTCCTGGTCATTCCTGTACTCTGGTTAAGCTGACCCACGCCTCCTCCAACCCCCTCATCAGTCATGATGGATTGGTCCAAGGATGGACACTTGACTAAAGGACAGTTAACCAATAGGCCAGAGACCTATGAGGTAGCCTGATACAAGAGCTCTGACTTGAGAGGATCACTTATGACTATCTAGGCCAAACTGATTCTGTTTCTTGATAATTGCAATGGAGAGATATAAAGAGAATCAGCCACTTGGTAGTGGGAGGAAAAGGAGGAAAGTAAATAATTACGCTCTTGTTACTTTATGTATATAGCTCCTGCTAATCTCTGCCTAAAATACAGAGAAGAGAACTAGATTCCACAGCGGGCTGGTCCTGGCAATCTGCATTTTAAACAGGCACCCCAAGTAGTTCTAAGCACCCTAAAGTAGCAATTTCCAATAGAAATATAATGCAAGCCACAAATGCAAACCACCTATGTAGCTTTAAACTTGCTAGTAACCATATCAAGAGATATAAACAGAGACAAGTGACATGAATTTTCATGTTTTGTTTAACCTGATATACCCAAGATATAATTATTTCAACATGTAGTCGATATAAAATATTAATAAGATATTTTACATTCTTCACTTTTGATGCTGTCTTTGAAATCCAATGTGTATTTTTATAGCTCATCTCAATTTGGACAAGCCACATTTAAAGTGTTCACTAGCCATATGGCTAGTGGCTACTGTGTTGAACAGTGCAGCTCTAATATTTGGGCCCTCCTGGCTCACACAAATGAGAGCTCCATGCCTGGAACACCCCACATGCATATTAGATAAAAGGAAGTAGTGCTAGATTATTTTATGGGCGGGGGGAGGAGTAGTATTTACAAAGGTATTCTACAAGCATATGTGTAATGAAGTTAACTATTTCAAGACCTCAAGCGTCAGTTTTCAAGGAAAAAATAGTGCCAATGTGCTTTTCAAAAATACCACTTTTTATTAAAAAAAATTAGTAACAATAGCTCATTAAATGCCACGACATACGTAAAATTGTGGGGTCCATGTAATTCTCAGTGCCTTAATTATAGTTACTCCCCGTTCTCTTATGCTTCAGAAATCCTAGCAGAATGCAAATAAGCAAGGGTGTCATTCTTATAAGGATTATCTCGAATCTAGTTATTAGAAAAGGAAATCACTTGAAAATGTTATACTTTTTGTTAACAGGGACAAATTAGTTATGACACACTTCACAACTGCCAAAATGTTGTGTTTGAGGACTCGTTCTATGGACAGACATTAAGAGAGTGAGCCCCAGACCCTTGCGAGTTAGAATTCAAGACCGAAGGCATATTCATTCATTCATTCATTTGGTTACCGGATGGCTACTGTTTGCACAGAAGTGTGCTGGGTGCAGATAAAGTGCTAGAGGAATTCCGAAGGGGAGAGGTGAGCTCTTGGGGCATGGAGAAGGCATTATAGAGGAAACATCAGGGGAAAACGTGGTTCAGGGTCAGATCATGGAAAGGTAAGCTACGAAGGCTGGATTTTATTTGGTAGGTAATGGAGAGTCCTTGCTGGTTTCTGAAATGGGGAGTCACATGGTCATATTAATTTGGGAGTAGTGAAAAAGATTTCAGAGAAAGGACACCATTTAGGCGGCCAGTGTTCGTGAACAGAAACATAAATCTATTTTTGAAGTTCAGGGTGAGCCATCTAGGAAACTGAATTTGAGTAATGGGCATAAAGTAGCGGGAGCATGCATGAAATCAGTGGAGAAAGTGCCTCCAGCTGTTCGAAAGCTGGGTGCGGTGTGGTCCCAGCTGAGTCAGCAAGGTGTAGCAGTGGAGCTCAGCAGGCCAATCAGATTCAGATTTGGTCTGTGGGGGCGGGCTCAACATAAAAAAGATGGCTCCCACCTACCGGCTGGCTGCACAGGAGAAGGATCCCTCACTGGGAAAATGTTGACTGTCCTCCAGTCCTCCTCCTGCAGCCACATGCCTCAGTCTGCCACCCATATGTCTCCGAGTCCCCCAGAGTCACTGTCCCTGCGCTGGAGCTCAAGGTGAGTGCCTGCGAACGAGTGAATCTGTGCGCAGGCCATTTAAGAGGACTTCTGTGTTTCCTGTAGCCTTCTGTCCTACTGGAACGGTTGGAATCTCCACTGTTTTTCACAGCCAGATGTGGGGGTTCCTCTTCCTGGCACCAGTACTCCAGGCTGGGGAGCCTGGTGTAGGGGACTGGGGCTCTCGCTCCTCTGGGGGGAACCTCCACAGCTGAGATATCCCTCCTGATTCTCAACCACCATAGGGATGTTTGAGGCCTGTTCTGCATTTCCATGCCTCCTACCAGTCTCGAGGTGGCTTCTTTTTCACATTTTTAGTTATAGGACTTCTGTTTAGCCAGAGTTCAGATGGTTCTCCAGGTTGATTGTTCTATAATTTAGTTGTAATTTTAATGTGTTTAAGGAAGGATGTAGACACAGTGTTTATCTACTCTGTCATCTTGGATCCTTGCCTTTCTTTTCTGATACCTGGAAAGTGCATCTCTCTCACCAAATTGACAGGTGTGTCTTTAGCTTTCTTTTCAGTCTTTAAAATACTGATTTTTTAAACTTCCTTTCTCTAACTGATGACATTGGCTCTGCTGTCTTGTATTAAGTATCCTAGATAGCCTAATGTTAGTCATTTTCTCTCTGTTAGTTTATTTTAGACAATTTAACCCTTGCACTTGCATTCATCCTTTCTTGGATTTTGCCTCTGTTATCTTCTTTTTCTCTCTTTAAATTAAAAAAAAATTTTTGTTTAATTTTATTTCCTTAGGCCATTGTCAGGTTTTTTCCCTCACAGCAGTTTTTAGCATCCTGACATGTATTCCTAATGGCATTCCCTTAATTCTGCTCCATTTTCCCCCTGAATGCAGCAATGAATTTTCTTCTCTTCAGCTTTGTCTGTGTTTTTCTATAACTACTATTGGATGGTTAATGATACACCTGTGTTTATTCATTCAAGAGCCTCTTTTATTTTTAATTAAACTTTTTGTTTTGAGGCAATTGTAGATTTAGTTGTAAGAAATAGTACAGAGAAATTCCACATACCCTTTACTGAATTCCCTCAACAGTAACATCTTATAAAACTATAGGACAATATTAAACCAGGACACTAACATTTCTATAGTCCAGATACAGAACGTTTCCATCTCCACAAAGATGTCACCTGTTGTCTAAGGCCTTTTCTAAGCATTGGCTCTGGGTGATGTTCTGGGCACCATGAAAGATGAAGAAAGGAACCAGATACTGATCCTATCAAAATTGCTTCAGTTCAAGGTATAAAATGGGAAGTGTCACAAGAAAAGCACCTTCGAGGGGAGGGGGTTGTAATTACTTTTGCTGAGGGGGTCAGAGAAGGCTTGTAAGGGCAAATACAAATGCAAAATAACAGGCTTAATTCTCCCCCTCCCCACACCCTGCTTCCTTTTCTTTAGAGCATTTACTTTAGAAACTTTGCAATGGTAAATTCTTTCTCTGTTACTTTGAAACTTAAGTGATTTTTTAAAAAAAAGCTAAATAAGCCTCTGGACAGCATTATGACCCAGCAATGTCTTTCTCAAAAACCTGGGACTCATATCTCAGGAATGTAAACATCCAAGAAAAATGGCACCCCAACTCCCGGTTTCTGTAGGGAGGTAGGATCCTAACTTTAGTGGGTGCCTTGTTCCAAAACTACCTCCTGTTGGAAAGATATGAAGAACTTGTTTTTCCTTTATGTAAAACCTATTAACAAACACAGATGGTGGCTCCAATTACCAGGTAAAGTTAGGATGAGCTACGAGTGATAAATGGTGCTGTCAGGTCCACTTACTTGAGACTAG